AGTAATAACCACATCATTCTCACGGGCTATCTCTATTGTATCCCAAAAATCATTGACATTGTGATCCCTATATCCGAATTTTTGTGTTCACTTTCGACGACGTTCTTCCTCACTAAAATCACACAAATATGAGTTATTTTCATTTTGTTCAATTCAAATAGATAATCACTTAAGCAACAAAAGCAACCGTCATAGGTAGAATCAAAATGAGTAAATGCTCGTTGAATTGAAATTTCAGTTCCATATACTGAGAGAGATCGACTTTCAAAGTAACAAACTGTGATTACAACCATATCTGCATGATGAAACATAATTTTTAATATAAAAAATAGTCGAAAGATCGGCTGTTACGATCATGACATATACATGCAGATGAATTTTTTATTATTTATGCTTAAAAAATTATAGATATGTTAAAAAGGTATCTACATGTTAATCTATGTCGAAATAAAATTTATCGATTATAAATGTGTACTAATTTAACGAAAACGAAACTAAACATTTGTAAATATAATTACCGATTCGAAGTGATAAATGTGAAAAAAAAATTCTTGTTCGATGTCTGATCAATTTCTGAGATTTTGAAATTGAAACAGATGAAAAATGAGAGATTTTTTATGTGTTGGAATAACCTGATAAAAAAAGTAAGCTGATTTTGAAATTTTAAGTGGAAGTGTTTCATTTTCACTTGTTAACTAAAATGGTAGTATTGTCTTTTCGATAAAACAATATTTTGTAATTGTATTGTTTACTTAGGTGCATCTTTATAGTTTACCATTCAAAAGGTCATTGTAGAAATATGTAATAGTTGAAAATTCAAAGCGAAAATTAAGGGGTTTGACCAAACCAATTTTAAAACAATTAATCTAGTTGTACAAAATAGGTTGACAAAATGAGTGTGGCAAGATTTAGGCAATTGATTTCAAAAACTGTTTTTGAAATCATTGGTTTAGATTTTGCCAACACATATTTTATAAACCAATTTTGTCAACCTATTTTGTACACATAAGATAGTCATTTTAAAAGGACCCCCATATATTACATGGCTCACCAGATACATTTTAATTTGTTTTTCTAGAAAGTTTGACTCGATGGCCATGTGGCCAATGTCTCACTCGACTCAGTCCATCCATTTGACACCGCTATTGATATTGTAATAGAATTGCATAGACAGTAGGGGTGGGCAAAAATCGAACCAATCCGACGAATCCAACCGACCCAAACCAACCCGATTGGGTTGGGTTGATTTTTTTCCATTTTTTTCTTGGGTTGGGTTCTGGCAAAGTTTAGTGGGTTGGGTTGTGGGTTAATCCATCCAACCCGACCAAACCCGACCCAACCCAACCCATCAATAAAAAAAAGGGCTATTTTTTTTCAAACATATTTCAACTAAACTTGTACAGCACTTCCAACATTTCCCCCACAACATAAATCAAAAGCGCCGATTTCCCAATTTTCTCTTTCCTCCTCCTTTCTTCATATTTTGCCCCCCATTTTTTTTCTCCTTTTCGGTTTCCATCTGCGATTCAGCCTTCAATTCTTTTCCCAAGGTAAATTACCAAGTTTGCATATTTTTTTTTCCGACTTATTACTAAGATTCAGCCCTCATTTTGCAAACTTTTTTGTACAAACTTATTTAATAGATCATTGAGCATGACCAAGAAACATATTTAACCTCTCATTTCTTCATCTTCACTACTTTATTTAGTGGCTACTCGTTTATTTCCATATATTCATTTATTTCTTTTAGATTCTCGTTTTAGTTTTGATTTTCTTGTTGAAAATTTGAATTGAGACATGAGCTGAAACATTGTAATTTAGAACTAGTTAATGGAAATCATCGATACAAACCGACCAACCCAACCCAACCCGACCGATACATAATTGGGTTGGGTTGGGTTGTGTTTCAACATTTACATGGGTTGGGTTGGGTTGGATTTCGAACAAACCGACAATGTTGGGTTGGGGCAAAAACCGACCCGACCCAACCCAACCCAACCCACACCCACCCCTAATAGACAGTATGCAATTGCATCTCCTAGAAATTTTTAAGGTTCTTTATTTTAATGTGTTTTATGTCGACTTGGACGAATGGACTAAAATAAAATATTTTAGTACAGTTCATAACTCGTACAACTTTACTAGATGTGTAAAATCTGAGTCAAGATGGTACATCCCATATTTCGTGAGGATTGAATTTAGTATCATTTAATACATGTATAAATGTATATTCAAATATGTAAGTGACTTGTACAACTTTACTAGATGGGTAAAATCTGTACCGAGATTACACATCCCATAATTCGCAGCGATTGACTTTTATTCTTTTACTTGTTATTCTAGTGAGTACGACTTGATGGCCATGTCTAAGACCCAGTTCCACCTATCGACTTAACAACTCTCAGAAAGTGATTACCGAAAGGTAAGTAATGGGATCCATCACCAAGATTGTAATTTGATTTATCACTTTGTCAAATTCATTTCATGCCAGAAAGGATTTTGTGGGCTCAAATTAAACGTGTAAGTTTGAAGTATTTAGGGTCCTTTTGGCATTGATTCCTAAAAATTGAAAATTGCCTTTTAATATATTTGAATAATTTTCTGAAAATATTTTATCTGGTTAAAAGAGTTTTTTGAGAAATTAGCTCGAAATGTCTTCCTCCAGAAGCTATTCTATAAGAATATCTTCAATGATGGTGTAAAATAATCTCCAAAGTGATCAAAAACCTCTCTAGTGGAGACATGCACATTGCATTTTTCGGAAAAAAATATATTAAAAAAAAATGTAAATTTACATATTTTTCTACATTCACAAGACACAAAAAGTGAATTTAGATCTTCCTATTGGAGTAGAATTTGGATTTAGGTCCACCAAAATGTAAAAGATGATGCAAAAGTTATTTGGAAATATTGATTTACAAAAAATTTGTACAATCATTGAAGATGCTCAAAACTAGAAATAAAAGCAGAAGTCGTGTCAAACGGGTCCTTAAGCCAATTTCGTCTATGAATTCTTCTAATCAAACAAAGTATTTTCAGAAAATTATATAAACATGTTCAAAAGTACGGTTATATCTTTTTATGGGGTCATTTATGCATTTGTTGCATATGTATTTTGACCGTTTGATTGATTGACTTTGTGTTAATCTGCTGTTATGTGTGAACGTATTTTGGAAAAGATCTATGGATTATCCTATATTATATCTCTATCCCATGATTATTTGTTCTTGATTGATTACTGTGATTATCTGCTTCTGCTTGAGTATTTGTTTGTGACCTTAGTCCTGGTGAGTCAATGTAGCAGATATGGTATGTGTTTCAGGTCCGAAACACGAGGTAAGATCTGTGATTCCAATTTTATTGGTTGCCTTGATTATGCAAGTGTTAACTTTGTGTTTTGATTGCTTGCAGATTGATTGGGTATCAAGGTAAATATTTGTTGGGTTTTGACACCCAATAAATCCCGAACGATGATGTTAAGACGACTTTGGATAAATTGAAATATTGACACCTCAATGGAGTGATCAAAACTTAGAACTATTTGGGCTATTGGAGGTAGCCTAATTTAATTAGAGTTGCCCGTGGCTCATTTTTCCACTTCTTGGATGCTTATAAGTGTTGGCTTATGTATTGATTTGGACTTGACATTTTTTCTCTCTATACCTAATGTACCCTATATATATGCTGCCCATTTTTGTGATGTTCACGTGTGTTATTTTTTCTTCCTCAAAGAGAGAATCCGACTACTTCTTCATTGTTTCTTTCATTCGGTTTTTCTCCTTCATTTTATCTTTTGCTTGAGTGGGTGCCATTGTGGCTGTAATAACATTGTCACTTTGTGTCCTTTGTGGGTGTAATAGCAACCGAAGTGTGGGAAAATAGTTGTCGTTCTTGGGTTGTTAATTAAGGTGTTTGATTTCGATTAGATAGATAAATTGAGTCTGGATTTCACAAATCAAAGATCAATTCTGCTACAATAAATAACAATTTTTTAAGCCGAAAAGAAGTAAACGACACATTATGGTTTCTTTAGTTATTGTAAAGTTCTGCATTATTACAAACAGGAAAAAAAAAATTCTTCCGGAAAAAAAGAAAAAAAAGAGAGAATGAGAAAAAGTTTAGTGAATCTATTTTTTTCCTAGAGAATTAGGCATGGAAACCAAGCATTTAAACGCGTTTATTGGGACCCGTTTTCTAAAGCAATACAGCTCAGGCTTTAACACTCACTTTGGAAAAAGACTTCTCGATTTTTCCATATGTTGCATGTGATTCTTTATCGCCTTTCTTTGTCTAATTTAAATTAATTTGTCCATTATGAGTCTTTTGTCATTTTTCAATCATGAGTGCAAAATGCTACGCCGTGAATAATACTGAACAAAATTAAGTAATATAATAAATAAAATTGTAGTTTCATCTTCTTATTTAACCCCAATTTGACAGCAATTTTTTGGGTAAAATGGAGTTATGAATAGTAATTTTTTTTGGAGAATGTGTGATTAAAAAATAGAAAAAAGTTTAGTGTTTATGTATAGAATATTTTATGGTGTGAATGTGTGGTTGAAAATGAATTTGTGAAAAAAATAATTTTGAAATAATGATGGTCAAACACGGACTTAATGATATGTTTAGCTTAGCAAGAGATGGGATCTGCCGCCGCCTGATAGAGACAGAACCAGGGGCCAATGGACCCATCTACCTTGTGTTTCAATTGAAAGAGGAAAGGAGAAATTTACGAGACACGAGCAATTAATTTGAGAGTTTATGGTAATCTCTGTGTTTCAGCTTTCCATTTTAACATACATCAACACGGGTGGTTAAATTTCTTCTCAGTACAAAAGCTCAGAATTATACTAGTGTGTTCGTATGTATGTTCTCTATTACTACTAAAAAAGGTATACATCATTTATCAAATCATGAGGAAAATGAAACCATTACTTGTGTTCACCACATATTATATTACCAACTGGGATCAAGTCAATCTAAATTTTGCCCATATGTAATCAATGAAATCCTGTAATTGGAAACAAAAGACAATGCCATGCGTTATCAAAGAATTTTGAAGGATCTTTGTGCTCTACCATGTCTTGACTGGTCACAACACAACCATATACTTGAAAGACTCTTTTTGTTGTTCGTCCTAATTCAGTAGTATTTCTGGCCTAGTTGCATGAACAAATATGCATTACTACAAAGTAAAATCTATGGAAGACTAGGCTTCAGCTGAGAAAACTATGTTCGTAACAGCTATCTTGAGCGAACATTCGAAGAAAATTACCGTCTCAAATAGTCCTGGAAGTCTGCTAGATGTAAGGAAGCAGCTTAAAATTTTCTTGTGCACCATGGGCAACTATAGAAATATCTCAAGTCATAAATATGACTTCATCTACTTCAGGTCTTAGAATCTTAGTCATCTGGGTATACATCTACATCGAATTTATTAGTCATGTATAAGATTTCTCATATTGAAGAATATTAAAATTACCGACAGGAAAGCGAAAATACCATTTCCTGATCCAGTGAAAACAGATACGAGGGGACAGATTCCTGATGGAAGTCCAGCAGTAGCTATCTCTTCTCCAACAGGCAGCTTTTGCAGCTGCCAGTGAAGAATACATGTAAGATACACCAAGCAAGAGAAAAGGTGTTGAATAACCAAGATTAAGATACCCTGAAAGATAAACCATTAAATACTCATTAGAAGAACGGAATTACGTGCCATAGGTTCCCAAAATGGAAAGGACTTAACCTGGTAATTTTAATTAATAGTTATAATCATGTTAACCTCTTCCACAATCAGATAAAGAGCAACGAACAAAGAAAAAAGAGAAGGTAATTTTTAAGAATTTCAACAGAAAACACTCCAGAAACTTTGAATATTCCAGAAAACGAGTACTGAGCTGCATACGTTGTCCTAGGCCACGCAAGAAGTCAATCATCCCAGCTCTTCCAGCAAATTTTCCAAATGCAAGCGATCTTCTACCATGATCTCCAACTATAAGCTCATAATCGAACAAAGACGCCCTTTCAGATAATATCTAAATGTAAGACAGAGTGAGAAATTAAGAGCATAAGTCACTCAAAATATTTTTCTAGGTATTTCATGAGGACATACCTTATCAAGTAGAGGCATATTTTCTTTTTGTGCCGTGTGAGTATGGGAGAAAAATGCACTCTATCAGGAAGAATCATATCTAACTGCAGTAAACACAAACACAGAATATCTTAGAACTTTTGGAAGGCTTTGAAGTAGCTAAAAGCAATGAAATGCACCTTTGGTTGTTTGATTCCCAATATGAGACCACATTTTGACAAGTCCTCCGATATGTCACAACCAACATCTTCATAGAGAGCATCGTGATGTATACGCTTAGTTGATGGTTGAACAATGATCCGGGTAACTCCAGTTTTACTACTGCCACCATGCAACAGTCGGGCACAATGAGAAGGGGTAAGAGGAACCCTTCTCTCCTATTTAGTCGTGGACTTTGATAGGATTCTGTTAATTGTATTGGGCTGCCTCACTATACTTTGGGTTGGTCCTTGTTTCCTATTTGGACCATTAAGTGAAACGGGTTGAAGCCTCAATTGAATTAATGTTATCGGCCATACACGTGGCTCATACTCTGCCATTGGATGCTAACTATTCATATTACTTGGTTGACTTGGCTCTTTGTGTTATTGACATTCGAGAGCCTTCTATTCTCTCTTCGTCTCTCTGTTTCCCTTTTTCTCTCTGAGTGAAGTTTAGGGTTTCATGGTTTCTTGTAATCGTAATCGATCTTAGTGATTTCTTCATTTCTATTCTTTGTGAAGTCTGTATATGGTGTACAGATTAGAGGTTGAATTTCTGTGATTATGGCTCTGAATTTTGAGGCGAGATTAAACTGAAGAAACATTTGATTTCTTCGAACAATTGTACTAATTCTTGTTTGATTCTTAGTGGATCTAGAGCTATATCTTTTGTGGATTCTCAACTAGTGTTTAGGTCTTTATAACCGAACATCCGGACCCTACAGGGTGAAAAATCTTGTGTTCGGTGTTCTTTTATGATTCTACATATTATTTTGTGGTTTGTGAACTTCGATCCTTTAGTATTGTTGATTTGGGGCCTTTGTATCAGAGCCTCGTCTCCGTGTTAGGGGCGATAGGGTCTCTGTTAGGATTTTCTTGGTGTAGATCTAAGATTCTTTGGGTAGACGAGTAGTTCTTTGTGAAAGAAATTGTTTTTCTTTTTCACTTATCTTAACTTGTTGTAAATGCTGGTTAACCTTGCGTTTCTACTGAGTCTTGGTTAATTTTTTATTTTTTGACTCTTACTGAGTTAGGCGAGTTGGAGTAACTCATTCCGATTCCTGGTTGAGTCTATGACTCACTGTTGAGTTCCACTGACTCTTGGTGACTCACTGCTTTCTTGCATTCATTTTGGACTCTTTGGCACCATGCCCTTTCATTATGAAATATTGAGGTTTCAGATTCTGGTATTGTTTCTAAACCCCATCTTTATTTTTGATAGCATTGTTAAGTTCTTGAAACTGGTTATTAAGGTAAGCAATTCTCCATTGCTTTCCTTTGTCCAAGACCTCATGTGAGGGTGTAGGAATCTGAGGGAACAGTAGGTTCAAGGGCTGCCACCCCCTTAAACCTCTTTCAAAACTATAACTATACAGTTCTGAATTGTGATTACTTGATCTGTGAATTGCATTGATAAGAATATTATCTATTAAGTTTGAACTTGAGACATGAAATGGTACTGGAGATTTTAGTCTCTGGAACTAGAAGATAAGGGCTCTTTTACTTCAACAATGGTGTGTTGTAGCCTTTGCTGATCGATGGCCTGCAGAGACTAGTGCTTATAGGAGGCAAGAATTAGATGACACTGCATAAAGTTCAATTTTCTTGCATCTGTCTTATAATGTGATTAGGAAAGTTGATGAAACTACCTCTACTCAGGCCTTATAGAATAAGCTAGAATCACTTTATTTGACTAAGACTATGCATAATAAATGTTATCTCCTGAGGCTGTTCTATAACTTTAGATTTGATCCTTCATCTGATTTGGAAGATAACCTTGACAGATTCATAAAACTGATTCATGACTTAGAAAATTGTGATGAAACACTTTCTGATGATCAACAAGTTGTTGCTATTCTGAACTCACTTAGTGATAAATAAAAAGACACCAGAACTGTAACGACCCGACCTCGCGCCGGAGCCGTTATCTTAAGTATTGTCTGCTTCGAGAGAGCCTAAACTCATCTTACCCCTCACGGCTTTCTGACGCGTCCCCCAAGATTCGAACTCAAAACCTCCATCATATGGGAGACTTAAGTTGAATCATGGTACCAATTGGGCAATTCTATGATGGGTGACCCCATGTGAAGTTTTCTTGGGGAGTGTGCGAGTGGGGATAAAACATGCTGAAAAGACACATGTTTGGTTGCCAGCCGAAAATCGGGAACTAAATGCTATGCGGGACAACGTGCTACACCATAGGGCGGGAGCCACCTCTTGAACTCGTAGAAGCCACCTCTAAAATCCCAACGCCTGGCAACGGATCCTCAGATGGATCAAGCGCGACGAGGACGTCGCGACTCTAACAGGGGGTAATTGTAATACCCAGACCAGGTGAACTTAAAAAAAATTTGATAGGTACTACTTATACCAATAAAGTGCACCTTTTTTTTCGAAAGTCCATCGTTAGAAACTCTACAGTTAAGCGTGCTTGGCTTGGAGCAATTCTATGATGAGTGACCCCCTGGGAAGTTTTCTTGGGGAATGTGCGAGTGAGGATAAAGAATGCTGAAAAAACACATGTTGGTACAGTAGGGACAGTACGTCGTCGATCTAATTGCCGGGACAGCCCGTTAAGTGGGACCCAAGTCGTTACAAGAACTGCTTTAGAATATGGGGGCAGGATCTCACTGTTGATATAATAACTTCAGCTCTAAGAAATAAAGAATTTGAGCTTAAAGCTGAATCTAAAGATTCCAAGTATGGGAAAGGGTTGCACATAAAGAAAAAATAGAATCCTAATAAGAAGCAACCTACATGCATTTTCAATCCTCACAAGAAAGTTAAATCTTAAAACTTCATATTCAAAGAGAAGAATAAAAGTCATATGAAATCCAAGAGTCAGATTAGAAAATGTTATTACTGTGGAAATCAGGTCATTTAATCAAACACCGTTTCAAGAAAATATCTGATATGAAAGATAAGAATAACTCGAAATGTTCTGCAGCCTTGGTCTGCAAGAATGAACCTGACATTCAAGGAGTAGCCCTTGTGAATACCACTAAAAGAGATCCAAAAGAATGGGTCCTTGATTCTGGCTGTACTTTCCATATGTGTTCCATCAAGGAATGATTTTCTGAATTTGTTGAACTTAGGAAATGACATGAGTTGTCAAATAAAGGGAATTGAAAAGATCAAATTATTGATGAATAACTAAATCCTTGAACTTGAAAATTGAAGATATGTTCCTGAACTTAAAAGAAATTTGATTTCTTTGGGTTAATTAGATAACAAATATAATATCATGATTCATTAAAGTCTTTTAAGACTCAAAAAATGAAGTAAAACTATTATATCTTCTCTGAAATTAAATGGGATCTACATTGTCTCTGTCGATCCTATGGTTCATCACTGTACTGCAACCTTAAACATTGAGTCTAATAAGTCTTTAAATTTGGCATAAAAGAAAGACTTGGTCACATTTCTGAAAAGAGACTTACCATTTTGAATAATCTTGGTTGTTTTGGTAAAAACAAACTCAAAAAGTTAGACTTTTG